CCTTCCTTTTTTTTTTTTTTTTTTTTTTTTTACTTTGGTGATGAGAGTACGAATATTCTGACGTGGCAAGTGATAGGCGGACCGTGAAGTTGGCGCCAGTTCATTTCATGTTTGCTATGCAGCGCAAGTCCAGGTCCGGAAAAAGAGTCCCAGAGGTAGTGTCCGCCAGTCCCCATGAACCTTTTTCTGTTGAACCAAAAAAAAACACAAACGACCCCGTCCTGCCCAGCCTGAAATGTTGCTCCTACCGGGTGACAGCGACTTTGATGAAGATATGCATTCAGTTTGCCACAAATATCTTTTTTTGGTGGCCTAAACCTTTTTCGTCATGATGAGGGTGCATTGTCGTCGGGGGACGACAGTTTCCCGGTGAAGACTGGGCACGACTGTCTATCACCCGCCTGCACTTGACGACTGCCGTTCAGGGAGCCCGACTTACTGCAAACAGACAGAGGCAGGTGCAATGAACCCAGTCATACTGCAAACAGACAGAGGCAGGTGCAATGAACCCAGACTCGTTATGAAGTCAGTTAGTAATGCAATAGAAGTCCAAACTCAGCGCGACTCATGGAGTCGTCAATATCAGTTACAAGTTCATGTCTCAATTGAATGCACAGCGCATCTGGTGCTAGCACCCAACTCCGGCAGCATCTGGTGCCTGCACCCAACTCCAGCAGCCTCGCGACACAGCACTAGCATCAAGCCAGTGCAAGGAAGAATGCCTTCCCCATTTTCTGACTGTCCTTTTGTAGCATTGACCAGTGTTGACTGACGTGGACCAGTCTCCCCTTTGACAGTGTCAACGCTCCAGATTTGCCCGATCTCGATGGCCTGGATTCTGCCTTGAAGCAGCGGTACATTTTCCCACTCGTGACTGCAATCTCCCGGATACCTGCGTCTGACAACCATCGATGTGCATCTGATCTATGGCCGAGGCTGACTACTGGGTTGACTTTGACTTTGGGCCTGCTTTCCCGTGCATGGTCTGACTCTTGATTTTCCAAGAGTCCGCTACCTCACGTCGGGGCTCTGGATGCTGTTTTCGACCCAGGTCCTCATATCCCTGGACCTCAGGCCCTTTCTTTCTTAGACATTTCTCAGACTTGAGACGTGACCTTGACCCCTGTTTCCGGCGTTTGACCAAAAGTGACGACCCTTGCCCGCGGCTGTGTGGATTTGAAGCCCGTGGATGTGTGGATTTGAACTGAAGTTTATTGCACAGGAAGCACACCTGAATATATAAACTAAAAGCACCAGTACAACCCCCCACCCCCCCCTTCATCCGAAACTTCTGGCAGCATACAAGGAGGCTGCGCTTTCAATGTACCCGTCCAGCAGCTTCTGGTTCTATTCCCTGCTTGGGTGCAAAACTTCGGTTCAGCAATTTAGGGTCCGCGCGGTACTGGAGTTCTCCGGTGTCTTGTGGGAAACAACATTGCTCAGGGGGAAGCAACTACTGAAGTTCGGAGATGGAAATTCTAAAAATAGAAAGTGTCTCAAGTACTCCAAGATTCTGCAGGGAAAAAAAAAAAAAAAAAAAAAAAGAGAGTCAAGGAATGATCCCTCCCTCCCAGTCGCTCCATAGCAATAGCTCTGGCCCACCAATGTACTCACGACAGGGTCGTGAGCATTTTTTTGGAGTTCTCGCTGATGAGACTATTTGGTGATTAAATGCGAGAAATGGCAGAAATGCCCACTGACCTTGTTCTTGGGCCGCCTCTCTTCTTTATCATTCAAACCTTGATCCTCTCGCGCCGCCTCCTCCTGAAAGATTCCAAGATAATCCACAATTCAAATGATCAACGATGAGTAAAAAAGGTGACGGCCTAGAGATATCATCATTGAACCGACCGGCCCCACGTAAGTAATGCAGAGTTATTTTAATCTGTTCATCTGATTGCATCTGGACTCGAACTTGAGTCTGTATTTTTCAACAGTTCATAGGTGTACCAACAACTGAGCTTGGTCCGTTGGTATTTTCAATTTTGACTCTCTTGCAACTCTCCTCTGACGTTGTTGTCTGTTGGAATTCCCACGTAATCCTCGCTTCATCCTATTTTACAATTGAAATGATAGTAATGATGATGATGATGATGATAAAATAATGGTTCAAGGATGTCAACCACTCGAAGCCGGCAACCCCCACCTGCACCTCCTCACTCCCTTTGCCTCTCCTTTCCCCACTCTTCTCTTTGTCAAAGGTTTGAGTGAGAGCCTCAGCCCATCCCTGACTGGGGGATGAGGATGACCAGCAACAACGTACAACTCTTTCCGATGCCAAAAGATATTAACAGCAAAACTGCTGCAACAGCATGGGATTTGCTGCAGATGAAGAGTTTTTTCCCCGATAACAAAAGACTCAACACCAAACTTGCCGCAACGGCACACAGCATTCAATGCAAAACACCGATGCATCCCCGGTGTGCTTCAGAGTCAGAAGAAGGATATAGACTACCGTTGTCCATCGAATGCAGCTCACTACTGTCATGACCGTATCGCTTCGAACGGATAGAACTTGTACTCCAAAACGCCATCCACAGAACACAGCTCGTTATTGTCACCACCATATCAAACCGAAGCGATAGCTTGTATACATTCATCCATGATWAGGGTGCACTGTRTTCGGTGGGGGAAACAGTCGGACTATCACGGCTACACTGAACATCAGCGATGACRCACATATTCCGTCCTTCGAGTCTGAGAAGAAAATGCATGCCCTCTGACCCTGCCCTGGTTTCATTTTTGTTCCTTTTTTTTCTAATTTGGGCCATTTCAATTCTTTCAATGGGTCCCACATGTGTGTAAACATTCCAAACAACTTCTAAATAATGAGCTAAAAGTTTCACAGCATCTTCGTCAAAACCATCAGTACATAAGACTCCCTTTCGCCCTAGTGAAATAATTGACCCATCATCTAACCACCAGATAGCTAATGACAATGGTGTAAGATGATTCAACCATTATGCATGTCATCCTTGCGCAGGGCCATGCTAAAATTGCCTTTCATTACCATCATCATCATCATCATCCTCTGTACTGCTCCAATTTTAGGGACATAAGCTAAAATTGCCCTGACTTCATGACCACCATCATCATGATCATCATCATCATCATCATCATCATCATCACTGCATTTTCTCTCATTCCACTATCATCATCAGTCACTGCTACATTTCATGTGATTGTGACCGCACGCTCACCTGATTGCCCTCTCATCGTTGCTACACCGTGAATGCACTCCCATGCAATATTATGTTGTGACAGTTCCCCGATTCTTATTCTGCCATTTTATTGTCGCTGCGCTGCGACTCTACCGTGTTTTGTACTGTGCTATTGCTGTGATGTAACAGTTGACTTTCCGCGCAATGCGACTTCACTCTGACTGCATTGCGATTGTTTATTTATTTATTTATTCCTCTCACTTGTGCACTTCTCTGTACCATTCCGGTTTTAACGGATGTCCCGAAGGACAAGTGCACTGTGACTTTGCTGTGATTTCACAACGATTTCCATTACCATCATTTCACCGTGATTTCACTGGAAATTGCACTACGGGCACATTCCAATACTTTGACACTTCTTTAAAAAAGAAAAAACGAAGAGGAAGACCGCCATGGCTATGGTGGACCTCAAGTTGTGTTGGCAGTAGAAGGTGGATTCAGACATTGTTTCTGGCTCTGCCATTCATCATTATTATTATTATTATTTATTGTTTGAATAAGAGGGGAGGAGAAAAGCTGGAGGAGTTTGGTTGGCGAGAAGAAGGGGGAATTATCATTTGGTCTTTGCTTGCGCGCATCTTCGTCTTCTTCTTCTTCTTCTTCTTCTTTCTTTCTTTCTTATTCTTCTTCTTCTTTCCCTCTCTCTCCTCTCAAGTTCATTCATTTCTTTTTGCAATTGGACGCCAATGTACTTTCTGATGAATGTGTGCTTCGAAATTGGCCAGGATCATAACACATACATATAATGTTGACAAAGAGAGGACGAGTTCAAAATTCAAATCCTGTTGGATACAAAAAGGAGGAAAGGAGGAAAGGGGTGGCGGGGCAGGGAAGGGGGGGGGGGAAGGGGGGGAAGGGAACTGACTGACTGACTGACACACTGCCATCTGACCTGCGATCGGTAAAGCTCAGCCTTGAGCACAACAATGGAGCTTGCACCAACTCCTTCGATCGTCCGCTTTTTCTTTGGGAGAACGGATGACTCAGTCAACCAGCCTAGCGACTCAACCCGCCGTTGCTGTTTCTCCTCCACGGTCGGATTATCGCCAACYGCCTCGTTGCGTGCCATTTCTTCTGTATCCACCACTGTGAAGAAGCTCCGACCTCRGCAGCAACATCGCCAGTTTACCAGGATTCTTCGTTTACGGATGTCGATCCTCAGCATCAGTGGTAAGAAACGAAAAATCCCGGTTTAAGTGAGATCTCTCTCCCCCMCCTTCCCTTCCCTTCCCTTCCCCGGCCCCCATGACCTTCCACCCTCTTCTGCACAGTTCCCATCATTCTAACCAACCCCCTCCCCTCAGTCCATTACTGCACCGCAAACAAAGAACCACACACCGATTCATTTGCCTTTTTAACCTTCCACGGGCAGTACGACACCTGATGGGAAACCAAGTCTGCAATACAGACAAGCAATCCACACAACAATTAGGCCGATCTGCTGTACAACGGGCAAAGAAAAAAAAAATAAAAAAAGGCCAAATGTTTTCCTTTTTTGTTTATCTTTTCCTCACTTCTCGCTCATCTCTCAGCCTTTCTCGACACATCGGTTGATCGCTTTGTCATCCGAGCCTTCCACAAGTTTTGGGTCCCAGCGTGCCCTCGCAACAACCAGACGCCGCCACCCCCCCCCGATCCCCCCACACCGGGGGTTTCAAATAAGGATGTCCTCCCCGCTCCCACCACCTTTAAAAGGGCTTGCTATTTCCCACTAGGATGCCCTCCTTTGTGACGACCAAGCGCCTATCGTCTTCACCGGAATAGAACGCCCGGTCATTATTGCTGTAGGTAGACTGAAAGTGGCACCAAATACGGCTATAACGACCGGGGATTCGATTCGGGTGAAGACGGTAGGAATCATCGGCAGATACGGGCTACGCAAAAACCTTTTTTTCTTTTGTTTTATTCCACCCAAACTTTGCCGGTTTTGTAGAACGGGCCCACTGGCATTGCAGTACGTCCGATGTTAAGATCTGGCGGTCAGGATTCCGTCCCGCCCACACTCAGCCTCTTTCTACCGGATTATGAACCTGGCGCTTTTGAACCCCCGGGGAGCTCCAAAACCAAACCAGGGACTGTTGGCGTCTCTACCAGCTTGCACCCTCCTCCTCCCAACCGTCGCCGGATAGCAGCCATGAATAGGATTTTGCTGGTCAAGCACAATCTTCTTGCTAAGAACGGTTTCACAGGCGATGCTCCTCCACCCTCTCGTCTCGAGAAATGGCATCTAAAAAAAACGACGAAGCGGATCATGAATGAACGGAGCAAGACGCTGGGCGTACACAATAGAGGGGGAAGCCCTTCACCCAGGAGAGAGTGTTTTTCGCACACATCTTCTCGAGAACCCTGGGCGGGAAATATAAGATGGGTCACCCTTCCGAGTTCCAGGGCTGCCACCAACGTCGGCTAAGGGGGGTGCAAAGAGGTGTTTGGGGCATCTCAGACCAGACATATATCCGAGGCTCGGACGAGTCCATTTCTGGCTCTCTGCAGAAATTCTGTGCAAGAAAGAAGTAATCGACCGGCCTGCGTAAGAAGAGGTAGCACAGACAGTTGCCAGTGCATGCCAGTTCCAGCCATACCCAGAGAGAGGTGGGTGGCACTTCTCCCAAGCAACCTCAACCACAGGGTCCAGCCTCGACCCATCCGGCGAACCAGGGGGGTCATGGATCCCTCTAACGTCTCTTCTCCGGAATAGAACGCACTGTCATTATAGCTGCATTTCTTGCAACTTCCAGTCTAGATACAGTGACAATGACCACGCCTCCCACTTCGGGGAAAAACGGTAGCAAGTACCGGTCACTAATTCCGCAGCCACGGGGCTTGCAAATAAATGGAGGCGGCGCTTTACCAGTGGCGGCCTGTGTGTGGCCGGTTCAAGTCGGTACTCAGGGGGGGAAATTTTACCCGTACATTTCCTAAAACCGTGGCTTGTTAACGGACACTACTGTAGTGACCCCTACATTTCCTAAAATTGTGGCTTGTTAAACGTTTCTAGTCGGATGAATTTGGGCGTTCCTGTAGTGACCCGTACATTTCCTAAAATTGTGGCTTGTTAGCGGGCACTCCTGTAGTGACCCCTACATTTCCTAAAACCGTGGCTTGTTATCTAATTGTGGCTTGTTAACGGCCATGACTTTAGGAAGTACTGGTGGTTTCACGCTGGCCTCGTCGGACGAATTTGGGCGTTCCTGTAGTGACCCGTACATTTCCTAAAATTGTGGCTTGTTAACGGGCACTCCTGTCGTGACCCCTACATTTCCTAAAATTGTGACCCCTACATTTCCTACAATTGTGGCTTGTTATCTAAAATTGTGGCTTGTTAACGGGCACGACTTTAGGAAGTACTGTTGGTTTCACACTGGCCTCACATGTTCACTACAGGCCCAGGCCCGAAGCATCATGGCCTTACCACTTAAACCAGACTTAGCTTCGGGCAAACTGGCTGGCGGTTTAACTCATTAAACCACCAGTACCTTTCCCATATGTCAGCCATGGGCAGTTTCAGAGACTCAAAACGAAAAACCAGTCGCCAATGAAATTTACCGATGGCGGCATAACTAGTTAAACGACCAGTACCTTTCCCATATGTCAACCACCAGTACCTTTCCCATATGTCAGCCGTGGGCAGTTTCTGTGGCTGAAAACAAAAAGCCCATAGCCCATAAAATTAACAAAACATGGGTCGCCCATAAAATTAACGAAACACGGGTCACACATAAAATTAACGAAACATGGGTCGCCCATAAAATTAACGAAACAAGGGTCGCCCATGAAGTTTGGGTAGCCCATGAAATTTACCAACGACGGCTTAAACCACCAGTACTTGGGCACTGCGCGTCGCGCCGGCCGCCCAAATCTTGAAGCAGCGCGGGCTGTCGATTCGATTTATTGACGGCCCACCGGCCGTGGAAATCGCGTAGCGTTAACGCTAAGGCGTCGCCCAAGTACTGGTGGTTTAACTAATTCAACCACCAGTACCTTTCCCACATGTCAGCCGCGGGCAGTTTCGGAGGCTCAAAACAAAAAACGGGCTGCTGATGAAATTTATCAACGGTGGCCCTTCTTTCCCGCTTGGCTTCCAAATATACCCTTGCGACTTCTATTTTCAAGCGGGAAAAGGTGCGGGTGGTTTAACAAATTAATTAATTCTGCCCCCCATGGAGGTGAAGGCTTGGCAAATTAATTAATTCTGGCCCCCATGGAGGTGAAGGCTTGGGGGGCCTGTTGCAATCTCTGAACCTCCGTCGTGTGACCCCCACCCCACCACATCCCATCCTGCGCGCAAAGAGAGGTCCACCCATGAAAGTGAATGGCTTCCTGAATGGCTTCTCTCCCACTCCCCCTATGTCCTCACTCCCAACCCGTCACTTGGGCAGCAGAAAAGCCTTCAGCTTCAACTTCATTGGTATGAGTGCATTAGTGCCCAATATGCAGGGGGGGTTATGGGCTCTTCTCCAAGGACAGGTGAGTTTGTCCCATCCCGGGCCCATGAGACCAGACGAGAAACTCGCTCTCCTGCGCCGCTCGTCCTCCTCCTCACTCCC